AAATTCTTTTCTTTTCATGATAAAACTTATTTTTTTTTTCAATTTTAACTAAATAATATTTATATATTCTTTATTTAATTTTTGCAACTTTCTTTTATTTTATTTTTATTTTTTTTGAAAATTGTTTTAAATTTTTTTCTTCATAGTATAAATAATTTTTTTTCGATTTAAAATTCTTTTCATTTTATGATAAAACATATTTTTTAAATTTTAAATAAATAATATTTATTTTTAATTTTAATTATTTCAATTTAATATAAAAACTTTACAATAACTTTTTTTTTATTTCTTTTTCGTCGGCAAATTTTTTTGTTCTTTAATTTGTTAAATTATTTAGTTTTTTTTATTCGTAACTTTCTTTTATTTTATATTTATTATAGTTTTCTGAAAATAGTTTAAAAAATTTCATTTTTCTTCATATTATAAATAATTTTTTGTTCAATTTAAAATCTTTTTTAATTCTTTTTGTTTTACTATAAAACGTAATTTTTTTATTTAAAATTCTTTTCTTTTTATGATCAAACTTAATTTTTTTAATTTTAATTAAATAATATTTTTTAAGTTTTAATTATTTCAATTTAATTAAAAAACTTTATAATAATTTTTCAAATGTTAGAACATTGAATAAGAACTAATTGAATAAACATAATGTCAAAAAATTAAGCGAACTCAATTGTAACTATCGTTTTACTCCAACACAAATAAAAAAATTAAATGGTTTAATAAATTAAAGAACAAAAAAATTGCAGGCGAAAATAAAAATAAAAGAAAAGTTATTATAAAGTCTTTTAGTTGCAATGAACCAAACGATTGGATTTCATCAAACATTTCGAATCTTCAACAAGTTTTGAAAAATCTACAATTTTGAAGATTATAAAAATACAATAAATACAAACTCGTGCAACGAACATGGCAACTATTAGTAATAGTAAGAAACATCAACTGCCCCTCGGGGCATAGTCTAGTGGTGTAAAAGATAGGAGTGAGGTTATCTCACGCCTTACTGGCAGCTGCAGTGTGGGGGTTCGATTCTTGAAATATGAAATTGGACTCCTTGTAGGTGCAGTGTATATGCAATTCTTGTTCCCTGACCTGTTGGGGCACATCCCGCGATTTACCTCCCTCACAAAGTTTCAGGAGTGGGACGGTGGGGCTCTCAAGGTTAGGGTTCAACTTTTTTTTTTAAAGAAACATCAACATTAGCCCCGAGGCATAACCCAATGGTACAAAGGATAGGAGTGAGGTAGTTTCAACCTTACTGGCTGCCGCAATATGAGGGTTGGATTTCTAAGATATGAAATTGGACTCTTTGTGGGCACCAGTGTAAGGGCAAGCTCTTGTTCCTTGATCTGTTGGGACACATCCCGCGATTTACCTCCCTTATACTGTTTTAGGGGCGGGGCGAGGTCTTAGGAGTCTTGAAGGTTGGGGTTCAACCTTTTTAAGGGCCTGTTTGGTAGAGATTTTGAAAATTGATTTTTTGACCGTTAGAAGAAAAGTGGGGTCCACATGACCTTACTGGCTGCCGCAATATGAGGGTTGGATTTCTAAGATATGAAATTGGACTCTTTGTGGGCACCAGTGTAAGGGCAAGCTCTTGTTCCTTGATCTGTTGGGACACATCCCGCGATTTACCTCCCTTATACTGTTTTAGGGGCGGGGCGAGGTCTTAGGAGTCTTGAAGGTTGGGGTTCAACCTTTTTAAGGGCCTGTTTGGTAGAGATTTTGAGAATTGATTTTTTGACCGTTAGAAGAAAAGTGGGGTCCACATGTGAGAGAAGAAGTCAAAAATTACGACTTGAATAGTAAAATAACGGTCAAAAAATCAATTTTTTGGAGCAAAAAATCCCAACCAAACGGGGTCTAAGAAGGATCAACATTAGCCAAATAGATAAAATATAGCTTGGAAGGATATAACAGAATAGTACAATTCCAAGAGTACAACACCAGGAAGGCACGGCTGCAAAATGCTCGAGAAACAGTTGTCGTAGACAATCTTTCCCCTGTTAAGCACTGGAGCGCCCAGCCTGCTATTGTGCCATTTCGAAGCCGGTCAACGTATGGATAATCCTTAGGTTTAGTTACATTAAATAAGGAAAATTTCATTTTTTTCCTCAAACTATTGTCTGAATAGCAAATAAGTCCACAACTTGAAAGGTGCAACTTTATCCTTTACTGCTAGTGTAACTGCTTGATCATTCGTCAATTACGAAACTATCAAAATCTCCATTGTATTGCTACTCGACTTCATGTCTAAGTCATGTTTCTAAAATCAGACTAGATAAACATTCGATAAAATTAAAACTAGATATATAAATATTAAATTTTGGGTACACGCTTGACTTGATTTTCAAAACATTGCTTCTAAATTTGTGAAGCTAGATTTCATTTCTCAATATAGGTTAATGTACAAAGATGTAAAATGAGACATGATAGTATGAAAATCAGGTGAAGATTTAAATTCTGGGCGATGTCTTCATAAAATATTGAGGACTAGTCTATTTATAATTTTTAAAAGTAGTGACCATTGCTGCAAATTTAGTAGATGTAAACGCCAAAACAAAACAAATCAAGGTCTGAAAATATCGGAAAATTCGGAGCACTGTTAGAGAGAGAGAGAGAGCTTCACCATACTTGAACAGAGTCCGTATCTGTAGACTCATTGTCCCATCCATATGTACGCATTAAAATTAAATAAGAATTAAAAAAAAAAAAATCTAAAAAATTTCATTTTTCTTCATATTATAAATAATTTTTTGTTCAATTTAAAATCTTTTTTAATTCTTTTTGTTTTACTATAAAACGTAATTTTTTTATTTAAAATTCTTTTCTTTTTATGATCAAACTTAATTTTTTCAATTTTAATTAAATAATATTTTTTAAGTTTTAATTATTTCAATTTAATTAAAAAACTTTATAATAATTTTTCAAATGTTAGAACATTGAATAAGAACTAATTGAATAAACATAATGTCAAAAAATTAAGCGAACTCAATTGTAACTATCGTTTTACTCCAACACAAATAAAAAAATTAAATGGTTTAATAAATTAAAGAACAAAAAAATTGCAGGCGAAAATAAAAATAAAAGAAAAGTTATTATAAAGTCTTTTAGTTGCAATGAACCAAACGATTGGATTTCATCAAACATTTCGAATCTTCAACAAGTTTTGAAAAATCTACAATTTTGAAGATTATAAAAATACAATAAATACAAACTCGTGCAACGAACATGGCAACTACTAGTAATAGTAAGAAACATCAACTGCCCCTCGGGGCATAGTCTAGTGGTGTAAAAAATAGGAGTGAGGTTATCTCACGCCTTACTGGCAGCTGCAGTGTGGGGGTTCGATTCTTGAAATATGAAATTGGACTCCTTGTAGGTGCAGTGTATATGCAACTCTTGTTCCCTGACCTGTTGGGGCACATCCCGCAATTTATCTCTCTCACAAAGCTTCAGGAGTGGGGCGGTGGGGCTCTCAAGGTTAGGGTTCAACTTTTTTTTTAAAGAAACATCAACATTAGCCCCGAGGTATAACCCAATGGTACAAAGGATAGGAGTGAGGTAGTTTCAACCTTACTGGCTGCCGCAATGTGAGGGTTGGATTTCTAAGATATGAAATTGGACTCTTTGTGGGCACCAGTGTAAGGGCAAGCTCTTGTTCCTTGATCTGTTGGGACACATCCCGCGATTTACCTCCCTTATACTGTTTTAGGGGCGGGGCGAGGTCTTAGGAGTCTTGAAGGTTGGGGTTCAACCTTTTTAAGGGCCTGTTTGGTAGAGATTTTGAGAATTGATTTTTTCACCGTTAGAAGAAAAGTGGGGTCCACATGTGAGAGAAGAAGTCAAAAATTACGACTTGAATAGTAAAATAAAGGTAAAAAAATCAATTTTTTGGAGCAAAAAATCCCAATCAAACGGGGTCTAAGAAGGATCAACATTAGCCAAATAGATAAAATATAGCTTGGAAGGATATAACAGAGTAGTACAATTCCAAGAGTACAACACCAGGAAGGCACGGCTGCAAAATGCTCGAGAAACAGTTGTCGTAGACAATCTTTCCCCTGTTAAGCACTGGAGCGCCCAGCCTGCTATTGTGCCATTTCGAAGCCGGTCAACGTCTGGATAATCCTTAGGTTTAGTTACATTAAATAAGGAAAATTTCATTTTTTCCCTCAAACTATTGTCTGAATAGCAAATAAGTCCACAACTTGAAAGGTGCAACTTTATCCTTTACTGCTAGTGTAACTGCTTGATAACCAAACGGGGTCTAAGAAGGATCAACATTAGCCAAATAGATAAAATATAGCTTGGAAGGATATAACAGAATAGTACAATTCCAAGAGTACAACACCAGGAAGGCACGGCTGCAAAATGCTCGAGAAACAGTTGTCGTAGACAATCTTTCCCCCGTTAAGCACTGGAGCGCCCAGCCTGCTATTGTGCCATTTCGAAGCCGGTCAACGTATGGATAATCCTTAGGTTTAGTTACATTAAATAAGGAAAATTTCATTTTTTTCCTCAAACTATTGTCTGAATAGCAAATAAGTCCACAACTTGAAAGGTGCAACTTTATCCTTTACTGCTAGTGTAACTGCTTGATCATTCGTCAATTACGAAACTATCAAAATCTCCATTGTATTGCTACTCGACTTCATGTCTAAGTCATGTTTCTAAAATCAGACTAGATAAACATTCGATAAAATTAAAACTAGATATATAAATATTAAATTTTGGGTACACGCTTGACTTGATTTTCAAAACATTGCTTCTAAATTTGTGAAGCTAGATTTCATTTCTCAATATAGGTTAATGTACAAAGATGTAAAATGAGACATGATAGTATGAAAATCAGGTGAAGATTTAAATTCTGGGCGATGTCTTCATAAAATATTGAGGACTAGTCTATTTATAATTTTTAAAAGTAGTGACCATTGCTGCAAATTTAGTAGATGTAAACGCCAAAACAAAACAAATCAAGGTCTGAAAATATCGGAAAATTCGGAGCACTGTTAGAGAGAGAGAGAGAGCTTCACCATACTTGAACAGAGTCCGTATCTGTAGACTCATTGTCCCATCCATATGTACGCATTAAAATTAAATAAGAATTAAAAAAAAAAAAATCTCCACAGCTACAAATAATTTTCTGAGCAGTTCATTTGATTTTTATCAATCGAGTGAATAATTGAAGAGTTGATGGTATTATCTCAAGTTTTGTGAAGAAATGGGGGACGGTCAGAAGACTTATTCTTCTAATCCAAAAGATTACGAACTCCTAGAAGAGGTTGGATATGGCGCCAGCGCAACTGTTTACAGAGCAATCCATTTGCCTTCCAAGGAAGTGGTGGCCGTCAAGTGTTTGGATCTCGATCGATGCGGTAGCAATCTGGTTTGTCGTGTTTTCCATTCCCTCGAATTTCTTTTCTTATACAGATAAATTTGAGTATGTATGGATGGATGTTTGTGTTTAATTCTGTGTATAGGAGATTTGCGTGGGGTGATGTGTGATTGGAATTTGTGATCTAGTTGAGTCTGTTTTGATTGATTTGACTTTTTTTTGTGATGAACTTGCAGTTTAGATGTGTGATTTGAGATAGCGCTATATGAGGAAGTACCTTCTATCTTGGTTAAGTGATTTTTGATGGTGTATTAGGGTGAAGTTTGAAACTTAAACTGTGGAATTTGGTTTCAGATGATAATAATTGTCATATGTTAAATTACTTGATTTTTGTTTGCTGGTGGTTATCGACCTGAAAATGCAACAAAACTGCAGCTGGTAGTTATTTGAATGCTTTATTTTGTGTTCAATAAGACCATAGATCGTAGTTAAAGTAGTGCTCAAATGTCTAAAGTTCCAATGGAGGGCCACTAGGAAAAACATTGTTTATGATCTGGCTTCAATTTTTCATTTTTTGGGTTACCAAACCTTGTAGATCACTGCTTATGGATAATGAATTGTGGGAGGTGACCAAAACAATGGGGTAATTGATTGGATGCATCTCTTTTCTTGTGAATCTCGAAGATAATAGTTAGGTCACAGCTACTTACTTTGGGTTGTCCAATAAGATGGTTTCTTCTTTTTATGGTTTAAATGAGGATAATAATATGGCAATATGAAAATTAAATCAAACAAGAATATAAGATTTACGTGTTAAAATATGCCACGGGCAGAAGAGGAGAATTTATTGATATCAATAATCTTGGATTTCAAATTATTGTATCGAATGTAAGGAATGATTCAATGTGTTGTATACCGCATATATATATATATATATGGGGGTGTTTGAGCCCCATTTTTATGAAAAAATGCATTTTAGAATAGTAGATTGATGGAAAATGTATGGTTGAAAAATAAGAATTTTTTTTTGATTTACATGTAATATTATTTTAATGAATAATGTGTGGTTGAAAAGAAGAGAGAAAAATGTATTTTGGGAAGAATGAAAATCAAACAATGCCATAATACTAAGATCCCTAACATACTTGGAATATAATATAATGAAGAGTTTAATATATGGTGAAGTTTCAATATAAAAGCAATAATGAAATATTTGGGATGAAATAGGAGTAAGAAATTACCAAAATCGAGAAACCTTTTCCAATTGCAACTTGGTCTTCTTTAAGTCTACTACTGCAATGAACAAAACTTCTAAAATTTCTCCACCTGGAGATAAATTCCGGTGTGAGGAATAAAACTTAACTCTTCAACCAAAAATCCTCCACCAAAACAAATCCTCCAATAGGAAAAATTCTCCACCTTTTTTTACAAAACCCAACTAGGGTAAACTTAATAACTGAAAAACTAATTAAATCCAAGCACTGCTCAGCAAGATTAATTTGGACACTAAAGTTGCTAGAATTATCTCCACGAGCAACAAAATCACAAATAATTTAAAATTTACCAAACATGGCAAAAACATACCATGTAACATAATCAACCAAAATGCTTATGGAGAAGGTTCTTTACTAGACTGAACACCTTTGATTGCATGTAAGGCATAAACCACAAAATATGCTTCATCGTACCTTTGTGGAGGCTTTATATATCTGATGGTCTGTCTGTAGCAATTGATGATGGCAAAGCATTACCTATAACTTCTGAATTTGATCGACATGTATTCCTTAATATGGACCCTAAACCAAACTCCAATGGTACAAAACCAAACTCAAATCCACCAGAGCCCTTAACTGTTGCTGATTACTATTCAAAGATTATGTAGAACAAAGCAAGAAATATAATTGTGACATTTTCTGTCACTTCAACACAACATGTGCACTGTTACTAAACTTCAGGACTCCACTTGCACAAACGTACTTGTATCCTTTTGAATCTAGAGTATAAAAGGAGATAAATTTTTTCTTCAAATCAGGAACATTTCTTATGGCATCAAGTGTTCTAATAATCCAATCAAACATCTTAATTCCGACCCTTTTAATACCAGCTATCCTACAAGGTGAATTATTTCCCATTACCACACCACCTTTGGTAATTGTTTTATATGTTGAGAATAAATCTCGATTAAGACACATATGAAAAGTGCAAACTATATCAAGAATCCAATCATCGTCAGGTTTGGAGTGTTGTCAGAAATAACCAAATTTTCTCCATTTTTGTACCTATCTTCTGTAATATTGACTTCACCTGAAGTTTTTGATTGTTTATCCTTCTAATTTGTAGCGGCTAGATTTTCATTCTTCTGCAACTTATAACAATCATTTCTGATGTGCCCCCGTCTCTTGCTATACTTACTGACTTTATTATTGTAATGAAACCTTAATTTGCCCATCATATAATCACCATCAACAAGGCCATCTCCATGAACATGAGATCTAACAAGATGCTTCATTTTCTCCTTTGAAAACGGAGCATCATAAACTTTTTCAATGGTGAGAGTATGACGACTGTATAAGATCGTGTCTCTAAACGACATGTATGAAACGGGCAGCGAATACAATAATATTAATTCTAAATCTTCTTCATCATATTTGACCTCCAAGTTCTTCAAATCAGCGGCAATTTTCTTAAAAATAGCTAGATGATCTTCTAGTGATGTACCTTTTGTTATACAACGAGAATAAAGACTTTGTTTCAAGTGCAATTTGATAATTAGACTTTTCGTCATGCATAATTGCTCAAATTTTAAGCATAACACAGCTACGATTTTCTCCTTTAAAATGTTATTTCGAATATTATTTGAAAGATAAAGATGTATCTGTGATATGACCTTTTGATCTTACATTGTTTCTCCTCCATAGTCTAAGTTGAGGGTATCTTGTCAAATCCCAACAAAATATCATCTAAATTCATTTGAGCAAGCACTGCTCACATTTTTACTTTCTAAAGCAAAAATCTGTTGTTGCAATCAAACAACGGAATATCATACTTTATAGTTGTCCTTCTAAAAAAGTAAAGCCTCGAATTGAGTTGATCGAAATTCGCTCTGATATCACTTGTTATGATTTAAAAAACTATAATAATATGACATTATGAAAATTAGATTAAACAAGAACACCAGATCTAAGTGGTAAAAATATACCATGGGCAGAGGAGAATTTTATTAGTATGAATGATGGAGGATTATAAATTATTATGTAGAATGTAAGGATTGATTCAATATGTGTTGTACGCTGCATATATATAATACTAAGATCTCTAACATACTAGGAATATAATACAATGAAGAGTTTAGTATAATGTGAAGTCCCACTGTAATGGGTAAAATCAATAATGGAATATTTTGGGATGAAATAGGAGTTAAAAAACTGCCAAAATCGAGAATACTTCTCCAATTGCAACTTGGACTCCTTCAAGACCTCTTTAAGTCTACTGTCAACTTCTAAATTGAATTCTAACTTAAATTCCCAAATAAACTTCAATTAGATTCCAACTGGATTTTAAATAGAACTTCCAAGTTGTCTTCCTAATAGAATCCGGGTCACACCCTAATTCTAACACTTCTTTATGCTGAAAATGGCTTATTCGGAGAGTAGATATTTTACTTCTTTAATTTTGATGATTTAGTTTGATGGAGAGGGCTATATAATTGAATTTTGTCTAGATTGGGAATTTGCTTTTCGATACCAAATTTGGCAATTTTTTGTGCATATTTTGTAGCTAGTCCAACTTTTAATGGGATATACTTTAAATCAAGAAAATCTGGAATAAAATCAAAGCAGTTGTGAAAGTCAAATATGGTAGGTCCGCTCGCTTTCTAAATCATATTAGGAATTATAAGGGATAAAATTAAATTTTCACGCCAACATGTATGGTGGAACCATTATATCTATAAACTAAGAATCCTATGTGTTTAACACCCGAACCAATCCAAGGTTGGAATCATGAAAATAGCTTACAAAAATTTTTACGAGATAAGTGAGAGTCAACTATTTGTGCGGATTGATTTTTGGTATGGGAGAAGAAAAAGCTACGATTTCCTTTGGGTCATGTTTGAAGTGAGAAAAATAGTTTATTTAGTATATCCATGAAACATTTTTCTACCTACGCAATTGTTGAACTTTAATCTAGGCAGTGAGGGATTTTAATTAAATCCAGAAATGAATATTCCAATTTTTACATCATGCTAATATTAAAATAAAAATTTAACATTATGTGAAATCCATGTATTGTACCACAATTTCATTCACCAAATTCTACCTCGAACGCCAAAATAGGACCGATTTGTTATAAAAACTATTACCCATTAAACAGCTAGAACTATATCTCCTAATGTGAACTTCTCAAGACCTTAACCTGAGTCTAGCGCAATCCTAAATCCTAAGCATAGGGGATGACCTTGGGAATTGCAATGACATGAATAACCTCATGAGGTATTTTTGGGACAAGACCACGAGGCTCGAGTGGTTTAAAGTTGAAAATGGATCATTTGGCTAATCAAGATGAATATTGTGATATGTAAAAATCCCTTAATCTCTAATTTACAATGATATATTTTTTTTATCATTTCTCATTCACCTTTTCTTTTTCCATTTTCAATTCTAAAATGATGCAAAATAAAAAATCCCTAATAAATCCTTGGTTATATCCTCCTTTGATGCTCGGACTTGGCATTCCTGTTGATATACCCGTGTCGACACGACACTGATACTGGTATGAAATGCGGGTCAGATCCTTCAGTTTTCAAGCCGACTTGGCATCCTAAGAAGGCTGTCCGTGATCGAAAAAGTTAAAAAAATGAAATGAAAGGAAAAATAGAAACCAACCCTACTAGGGGTAGGCAAAAAAATCGAAAAACCGATGAAACTGTTAAAATCAAATTGATTCAAGTCAGGTTGGGTTGGTTTGAACCAAAAAATTGGTTGGGTATGGTTAAATTTAACCATTAAAAATTCAGGTTGGTTTGGTTTTGGTTTACGCAACCAACCCATTAATTAATTGACCCAACTCGCAAATGCTTTTTTTTTTTTTTTTTTTTTTTTTTTTTTTAAAATTTTTTTTTTTAATTATAAAAAAAAAAAAATTACTTTTCTAAAGTAATCTTTTTTATTTTAAAATTTATCTTTTAAATGTAAAAAGTAAAATAATAAAAACAAAAATATAATATATATAAATATATATATATACACACCAAAACTCTAAATATCAAAAGAAAAGAAAGCAAGAAGAAGAAATGTTTGATGTAAATTTCGAAATTAGATTGTAGCATTGCTTTCATTTTGTTGTAATTGTTTGTTGATAACTATCGGATTTATCTATATGATGATTTTGTAAAAATTGATTCTTTACCATTTACATTATATATATTATTGATATGAATTATGCAAGAAAAAAATTTATATGTATAATTTTATTATTATTATTTTTTTTAAAACCCAATATAGGTAGACAATTTTTTTACTCACAAAAATTCCAAACTGATTAACCCAATCAAATCGGTCTAAACGATATGGTTTGGTTTCAAAAACTAGTTTGGATTGGAATTTATCCAAATCAATCAAGTCGGTTTCGGTTTCGGGTTGCATTCAAAGCCAACCCTACCCGAACCATGCTCGGGCCTAAACAATGCCGATATAGCCTGCTTTTGGTGTCTATGTCCCCAAAGTTTCTTGGGCTTTGGAAAATTTCAGGCATCAGTTAGAGAAGACGGCAAGAGAAGACAAAGAAGCGGCTGGAAAGGATGAGAGAATTTTCAATTTTAAGGGTTTGATAATTGGGTTAAATTGTTTAAAGTGGGCTTTGTCACTTTTTAGCTGGGTGTAGACAATTTTAAAGTGGGTCAAAGATTTTTAAGGTGGATTTAAAAAAACCTTGCTCAAACCCTTTGATTTACTGAAAATTTAATAATTAATAAAAGTTAAGTTAAAAAAATTAAAAATAAAATAAAAAGTTATTTTAATCAACGAAAAAATTAAAAAAAATATTTGAAACATATACCCACGTGCCCAGATCTGAAATTTGGATTCTTTTTAGTCTTGTCCTCATATCTTTTAAAAAAAAAATTAAAAGATCCGACATTTAGATACATGCCCGTACTCGATACCCGTACCCGAGTTCGAGCATCATGGATATCCTCCATTGAAGTGGTTATTTGCCACTTTTTTTGCCCATGTATCCTTAGTTGTTGGCGAAGCAGCATAAAATTATAGATTCAGCTGCTTCTGAAATATTATGCTGCATCACATCATTGCACCTTTTCAAATATCTTTTATACTTTAAAGGAGTTAAGTTCTATGATAATTATATTATTACCATGTAGTTTTTGGTTCATCAACTTAAGCTTTTCACAGGGTGGAAACTTATAGTTACTGAGGAACAGTGCACAGTGGTTTATTGTCCACTGACTCATAAGTCATACCAGTGATTTATCCTACTTGCATTTAGGGCTTCTTTTATCTCACTGGCCGTGGAATATTGTAATGAATCAAAAGCATGCCACTTGGGTCTACACGAGTCGCACAACTTGTTTTTCTCAAGATGCTCCTGGAGATGAAGATCCATGTTTGTACGGGAGACTGTTAGATGAAACCGCTTGGAACATAATCCTCATTCTTTCTGTTTTTATCTTCTTATTTAAGATAAAGCCATTATATTTATTAAGCAGCAATTTCCCAGTTAGGTTATGTAGAAAATTTTTATTCAGTTCTGTTTTTTTTTTTTTTTTTTTTTTTTTCTCCCCCCCCCCCCCCCCCCCTCTCCCCCTGAGTGATACAATCCGTGTTTCTGACATTATTTATGTATCTTTCATGCATTTATATTGTGCTATTATCTTCTTTGGTCAGTTGCTTTATATTTGTTTCCTCATAACTCAGTTCCTGCATTTTTTTTAACTTCTGGATTTTATCACATTGCTAAGTTGTCATGCCATTAATTCAACATTAATGTTTCCGTTGCATTATAAATGTTGGGGGCTGGACTTGAACAATGGAGACTGTCCATGGTCAAAATCTTTGCAACAAACTAAGTAACATAATGAATAATTTTGGCCTCTTTCTAATAGGATGACATTCGAAGGGAAGCTCAAATACTGAGCTTAATTGATCATCCTAATGTGATCAGAGCATTTTGCTCATTTGTTGTCGACTCCAACCTTTGGGTGGTGATGCCTTTTATGGCCGAGGGTTCTTGCCTACATCTCATGAAGATAGCATATCCTGATGGATTTGAAGAATCAGCAATTGGGTCTATCTTGAAGGAAACTCTGAAGGCTTTGGAATATCTTCATCGGCATGGCCATATTCATCGTGATGTGAAGGTTAATTGATTCTGAAATATTTATCCTATAAAACAAGCAAAAAGACATTTCCAGATCTGACAAGTTCATTGGAATCAACTTGGCTACTAAACTACTTTGCAGATTGATTAATATTTCCTTTTGCAGGCAGGAAATATATTAATGGATAGTACTGGGGAGGTAAAACTTGCTGACTTTGGTGTTTCAGCAAGCATGTTTGACAAAGGTGATAGGCAGCGCTCGAGGAATACCTTTGTAGGAACTCCATGCTGGTATGGCTTGACATTTATCTTTTCTTTTCTATTTTGTTTTCTGAATATGTATCCGTTTTTGTGATAGTTTAAGTTTTCTGTTATCTAAAACTTTTGTCTTGATGTCCAGGATGGCACCGGAAGTTTTACAGCCAGGAACTGGATATAATTTCAAGTGGGTTTTATTCCTACTTTTTGTAGTTTTTATCGAAGTATTTAAAGCCTCTATAAATGTTGAACGAATATCACCAATGTCTTCGTGCATGCATACGCAAAAGTTGACAATATTTTTTTTTTAATTTTTTTTTTATTCTGTGTTTTGGATATGCAATTGATATCCCAAGAGACTAAATTACAACTTAAAGGTAATTTATTATATTATTTTCTTAGATTTTAGTTAAGTTATGATGATTTGTCCAGTAATTCCTTCTTGTCTTAAGCACAATAGAGGAGATGGGGGAGAAGTGTTTGAGATTCATTTTGCGCCCCTTTGACCAAAGATCATGGATGGACCTAGGACTAAGTTTTAGGGTGGCTTGAATTTTATAAAAAGCCAATAATATTACATGATAATAGATATAATACAAAATATGTTCCTGACAAGATTTTATAGAAAAATTCTTCTATCACTAAATTTAAATATGTTTTATTAGTAAGATGCCATTCAATGTAGAGACTTAGTTTTAGTATTTACTTTGTCAACCAAAGATCTATTACAGTTGGCAATGATGCTACATCATGAGTGCTGAAGCAATAAAGATTCATTGGATTGGTGCATAATTATTTTCCATATTCACAGGGCTGACATTTGGTCGTTTGGCATAACTGCACTGGAGTTGGCTCATGGACATGCACCATTTTCAAAATACCCTCCAATGAAGGTACGAATGTCTGCTTGATAGCTTGGCTACGTGTTCATGGAGATAACTGTCCTGAATGCTTTTAATCATTTACCCTCTATATTTGCAATAGGTTCTGCTTATGACCATACAGAATGCCCCTCCTGGGCTTGATTATGACCGAGATAAAAGGTTTTCTAAGGTAACCATGTTATTTTTGTCTCCAGACATTCTGTTGAACCATAGATAGGGTCATACATTTTTGTAAGTTGATTGTTAAACGGTCTTCAGTTTTAAACAGTCTTTCAAAGAACTGGTTGCAATGTGCTTGGTGAAGGATCAAACTAAGAGGCCAACTGCAGAGAAATTGTTAAAACACTCTTTTTTCAAGAATGCCAAGCCTCCAGAGCTTTCTGTGAAGAAACTATTTGCTGACTTGCCACCACTGTGGAAGCGTGTGAAAGACCTTCAGGTAGTTCTGCTACTAGCAGGGTTCTCAGGTTACCTTCTTTTTATTTTTGTATGATGTTCTTGTGAAATCAATGCAGCTCAAAGATGCTGCACAACTTGCTCTGGAAAGAATGCCTTCAGCAGAACGAGAAGCTATATCACAGGTTTTTTGAAGCATCTCCAGAGTTATTTTATGATTTACTTTAATTGAGGTCTTCTCTCTCTTATTTCTGCTTCTTTGTTTGGGTTTTCTCTGTGAGTGATTATTTCCTAATCTGAGACATCTGACTCAAGCAGTGGGCACCAAACAACGCCTTAGCATAAGCCCATTTCCTGAGAAGTTGCCAATTTCCAAAAGTATTTGTGTACGGCATCATTTTCTACTTATAAATGGTGGGCAAGGGTGTTCCAGATCTCCTTTGCTTGTGTATAACTGTGCATCAATGGCCTAATTTCACCATAGCACTCTTCCCTACCTTCTTTGGAGCTCTTGTACCCCTTGATATGGCTGGTGCTATTTTTCTATCTAGAGGGAGTGCTTCCATATTGTCATCAGATAGGCTTCGTAATTCTAGTCCCTGTAAAGCAAGTAGGTTCTACTTTAGTGACACTGGAGAAGATTGCTAGCTCTGGTCTTCTTATTTTATTAGTTTTTGAAAAAAATGCCATTTTTTAAATTAATTTATCCTGTAGGAAATTAGGAATTCAGGGGATTAAGTAAGAGTAATCATATCCTATAGGAATTGAGGAATTCAGCGGATTAAATAAAGTAATTACTGGGTATGAGGAAAGTACAGAACTTGCTGGACACTTGTTGGAGCCTTTCTCAATCGGGCGCTCCCACTCTCTCATCTCTCTTTCTTTTATTTGTCTCTTTCAGAGCGAGTACCAGCGAGGTGTAAGTGCATGGAACTTTGATGTTGAGGATTTGAAGCTTCAGGCATCACTTGTATGTAAATTACAATATCTTCCTTGATGTCGCAGAATTTCATGATAAACAGTCTTACTGCTTGCTACAATTGTGCACATAAGCTGATTTCTTCTTAATTTGACAGCTGCAAGAGGAGGATGATATGCAAGAGATCAAGGAGGAAGATGGCTCGAATCTGTACATGAACCATAAGGTCATTAGTAACCTTAATATAATTATTGATTTAATTTTGTTTGACAGAATGAGGGTTTTCCTGATGGAGAACAATAGATGAACTGATGAAAAATGGCTCTTTGTCCTAGCAGGTGGTATCTAGTTCTGGACCTGAAGTAGACAAACCAGGGACATCAACCAATAATACTTACAGGTGATACAAGGCCTCTATTCAGCATCATCCTTTGATTTTTTTCTTTTTTTCAATATTGATAACAGTTATTGTACCTTGGAATCATATATTATCTTGTCAATTTAGTTTTTCATGTCATTTAAAGATTCCAACTGAGTTTGAACTTTATTGTATTTGTAATCAGCAAGATATTAATCCTTTCTTCCCCTTGATATGGATTTCTAGTTTTTTATATGCTTGTGATTAACGTGCAGTATTGCAGTTGTCGTATGTTTAAGCTATCCTTGATTCTTCAAGAAATTTTCTTCTTTTGTTTTACAGAGAGAAGATAAATGGTGACGAGGTTCCTCTGGTTGACAGTCTGAGCATGAAGGAAAAAGTCGTTGAAAATGATATACTAGACTCTGATAATCAGGGGAAAACTGGAATCAACGAAAGTGTAGCTAAGACTAGAATTCATATGGCGAAGCCTCGTCAAACTCAGAGTGGACCACTAATGCCTGGTGTTGTGCTTAGTAATTCGAAGTCAGAAAGAACGCGAAACTTAGAAAGGTTTATTGTAATACATTAATTATTTCATCCGCTATTTTATCTTGTGCTTCAACTATGCTTCTGAGTAGCCTGTAACATGGTTTTATTAGCATCGATGCATTTCACAAGAAATTTTTACTTGGTTGTCTGATTATGTGCTGTATTTCTAGTTTTTTGTTGTAAATAATGGTCATGTTTTCAGACACTACAAAGTTCAGTTAAGGCAATTCTAGTTTGGCAACGCCCTTATTCTGACAACATTTTCGCATGCTATGTACATGGAGGAGTTGATTGTCTAATATGAAGAAGAAAAAATAAACAGTTATTGGTGCCAAAGATATGGATTTTAGACTGGTGAATGGGCTCATTGTTTCATCTTTAACCTCTGTTGACACGGATGTAGATTTGGACAAATGTTGTGGTCATTATCGTTAGGTGTTTTTATAAGAAATTTGTTTCATCTCATCACATCTTTATTTTGGCAACATAAATGGAATGGTGAGAAAGGAATCATGTAGTTTATTGAGAATGGGGCTTAGTATATTTTTGTTTTCTCCCACCTTAATTTTGGCATTTAAAGGGCTTGTGATGAAGAAAAAAATCCATTGTTTCTTCTTTAACCTCTGTTGACACGGATGTAGATTTGGACAAATGTTGTGGTCATTATCGTTAGGTGTTTTTATAAGAAATTTGTTTCATCTCATCACATCTTTATTTTGGCAACATAAATGGAATGGTGAGAAAGGAATCATGTAGTTTATTGAGAATGGGGCTTAGTATATTTTTGTTTTCTCCCACCTTAATTTTGGCATTTAAAGGGCTTGTGATGAAGAAAAAAATCGACCCACACTTGTAATTCTATATGATATCCTTAAATGTGAGAGCAGTATGAAATTAAATGTTGCTCGTATGAGTTACAAAAGCTGTTTGTCATTGTATAATATTGTCTGTTTTTTGGTTACGCAACATGTTTTTGGTGCCTAGTTATCTGGCGAATACCTTTCTCTTGTTAACATCTTTGGAAAAAAAATTTGTTTGTCAGATGTGAGATTGAAAATCATCAAGTGGTTGAGAGAGCTCAACAAGTACGAAAAGCACCCAGCTTTAGTGGACCTCTAATGCTTCCAAACCGAGCTTCAGCAAACAGTTTATCAGCCCCAATCAAATCTTCAGGAGGTTAGTCCTTTTGATTTGAGTTTATCTACTGTTCTACATGGAAAAAATTAGTTTATTACATCATTGGTTTTATTTTACCATTCTAGGATTCAAAGATTCTATTGATGACAAATCAAGGACCAATCTGGTACAAATAAAAGGGCGGTTCTCAGTAACATCTGAAAATGTAGATCTTGTAAAGGTACAGCTTCATTCTTACGGTACTTTATTGATTTTGATAACTGTTGCTAACTTGTATAATTATACTAGGATATTCCATTATGTACAAGTTCTCGACGAAATTCTCAGGTAGGAGGCAAACCAAGTCCTTGATTGTTTGAAAATGATTAGTTTGTTTAGTTCCCCCTTCATATTGATGTTGTCTTCAGGGATCACCGCTAAGGAAGTCCGCTAGTGTTGGAGATTGGATGTTTGATTCTAAGCCAATGGTTTGTACACTGACTACTCTTCTTATTAAACTATTACAGAATTTTTAACTGTTGAAACCCCCTTATTTTTCTGTCCCCCTTTCTCTTCCAAATGAACCTGATTACTTAGTTTCTGTCAATCTTAGTGATGTATTTCATCATTGTCTTTCAGCCTAATAATCAGCCCGCTAAGGAAATCAGCAACAGCAATGTATCTGCCTCAATTCTCATGCCTCATCTTCAGAATCTTTTCCAGCAAACATCAATTCAACAAGTAAGACCTTTTCTTTTTATATTTTAATGTGTCTTCTATCACTATAAAATAGTTCAACAAGCATTTTTCAATCGGGAGCTCTTTATATTATTTTCTTCTTATTTATTGATATCTTAATGGCAGGATCTTATAATGAATTTATTGAATAGCTTGCAACTAGTTGAGGTAGCAGATGGTGAGTTGACAATCTTACTGTTTGTATATATCAAGGACAGATGTTTTATATTGGTTAGATTGATGTTTCTATTCTTCTATCAGCACCTCAAAATGGGAAACTGCCTCCCTTACCTCGTGGATCAGAAAATAATGGAAGCGTAAGCCCCTACCTGCATTAACGTTGATGGAAATTTTGGATAGAGCATTCGGGAAGGAAGAAGGGAGATCTATATTTTATGATACCAACTTTAGTTTTGGATCTAATCTCTTATTAAATTGGGATCACTAAAAATGGAAAAAAAAAAAACTGCAACTATTCTTTAAAGTTCCATCTTCTACACAAGTTTTTGTATTAGTTTATGTGGAACATATCCACTGTGCGCTGCATTAAATGGACTAGAGGAATGAGTCTTGACAGATTATGTCAATTCAAGTGTTCTTGCATTTGGGAAAAAAAGGGTCATTTTATGCTTAAAACGAAGGATCCATATGTAACTTCCATTATCCGTGTCTTGAGTATGTAGTTGTCCAACATGGGTACTCAAATCCTTATATGGAGTCCATTCAATATGTTCAGATCTTTTATGTTGCAGATTCACTGATTAATGCCATTGGATAATCATGCACGTCTTCGTGGTTGCTTTTCATTAGACACGTAATTTCACCTTTATGTAGGATACAGTCCACAATTCTTATAATTTCACCTTTATGTAGGATACAGTCCACAATTCTTATAATTTCACCTTTATGTAGGATACAGTCCACAATTCTTATAATTTCACCTTTATGTAGGATACAGTCCACAATTCTTATAATTTCACCTTTATGTAGGATACAGTCCACAATTCTTATAATTTCACCTTTATGTAGGATACAGTCCACAATTCTTATAATTTCACCTTTATGTAGGATACAGTCCACAATTCTTTCTGCTGGTTCCTAAACTTGCCAAAATAATGTTAGAATTCTCAAGCTTAAGCTTGATGTTATTATTTTAATAGTCAATTCAGAGATGCCGGACTTGATGAATCTTGAGCCAGTCTGAAGCCTCTACGTTTTACTTGGGACTTAATTTCAGGATGAGATTTTACGGAGTATTCAGATTCTCTTTGCTTTTTTGTCCACAACGTCTAGATTTCAGATGATAGAAAAGAATTGTTATTAGTCATTGACTGCAAAGCAAATGTGTGTTTGATCTATAAGATTTCATCAGTTCACTAAAATCATCGACCTGTGTACAGGTTGATACAGCAATTTCTGAAAGGGAACGTATGCTGCTTATGAAGATCACAGAACTTCAATCGAGGTGGCTAATTTAGAACTGGACTTGATATACTTAACTCATTTTTCGTTATCTAGTATCTTTTGCAAGAGAGACTAAGTTCAATCTCAAACTCTCCCACCCCCATAACTGACACTTGCAGGATGATAAGTTTGACCGATGAATTAAATGCAGAAAGAATAAAATATATGCAAGTGAGTTTTCTGTTGTTTTTCATCTCTATTAATTAGCACACTTTGTTGTTTGTGCACGGGATCTATATGATTATCTTCATATTTCAATTAATTTTCAAAGGGGGAATTTAATTTTGGGGAATGAACTTGCCTAATTAAGTCATGCCATTTTGTAATCATAATTTGCGTACTCCTGGCAGTTACAACAGCAGCTAAATGCTGTATCTGGTCGGGTTGAGGATGGAGACAGAAGAGAAGGAGATTCTTGATTAGATTTGTTGAAATGTAAAGCGACAGCACCCTGTAAATTTGGGTAAGGTTTCAGTCTATGGATATTAGCTTAAGCTGAACAGTGTTCCTCCCTTATGACTTGCTTTTTTCGTTCTGAAAGTAAGTCCTCTTCATTTGTAGAATCATGGTTTTTTCCAATTGTTCAATAAACCCTCAGTAGAAGATTCCAGCCTTGCCCTGCAACAAATAAGGAGAATGATCAGCCGTAGAAGATACAATTTGGTTCATTTATTTAATGAGTATGAAGAAACCCAGCCATCCATTTTGCAGAATCATGTGGACACCTCAGTCTGATTTGCATTATTTGGTTGAACCAGTCACCGTGAGAGAGACATTGAATTTGTATTTTGTAGATTATATATAATATATGCAACAAGAAACTGTTAAACTTTGTTAATAGATAAGTTATGACAGACAATTAGCTTGGTTATACTCTCCTTCCATTTTTCTTATTATCCGAACCATCTTGTTCCTTATTTTCAGATTTTTCATGTCGATCAAATTCTTGGTCAAATTTGAGATTCTAATTGCTAGTTTAGATTCCGAAGTATGGCCATGGGGGTGGCATCCCCTATTCCATTGAGTATTTTGGGATGAGGAAATTGGGGCAACTATTTCCATCCCCTATTCCATTGGGTGTTTTTGTCCCCTTGCCTCACTTCCATAGGCTGGGGTGGGGCCCCTTTTCCCATTTATCATTTCATTTTTTGTACTTTTATTTTTTAACATTATTAGTTGGTTAAAATCAATTTTTTATTATTATTATTATTATTATTATTATTATTATTCCTATTTTAGAGAAATCCATGTTTACTTCAGAAATGATAATTGATTTTTTTCTTTTTGTGCAATAAAAGACTTGTATTTTAAAATTAAGGAGTGGGGATCATATTTTCTATACTTGCTCTACCCTTTTTTGGGGCAACGACCCGCCATGTCCTTGCTTCATGTACACGATTAGGTTGAGAATTTTCACTTCATTTAGGGGGCGTTTGTTTCTCATTTTTGCAAAAATGAGAATGAAAAATATAGTGGTTATGAGTACCATATAAAATATAAAAATTCAAATTTGGTGACTTGATGTGATGAATAATAGTCATATTTTTTATTTTCATGAAGAAAGAACGGAAAACAAACAGGGACTCAATGTGGGGACCCAAGTATCAAGTATACCATTTTTTTTCTGCCATCCCCACAATTTCTCATGGAACGAAACATTAATGGAGCCAATAACATTTTGCGTTGAAATCTATAATGCTAACATTGACTTGTTGCAAAGCACTTTATTTGGGAAAAGGGCGTTAAGAAACACTCTTAGTTGACCGTTAAATCTAACTTGAACTTTTAACATTTCAATTAAGGTAAATTTGTCGAATTCTTTGATTGAGTAACAGTATATTAATGATGAAATTAAACCGAGTGATCTTAATTGAGATAAAATATAAGCATAGTTACTCGGTTAAAATAAATTTAAGTATAAGTCGCTAATTGAAAAAATAAAATAAAAAATAATTGACATTCGAGCAAAAAAGTACATTTACCCTTTCTTTCCTTTATCAATATTAATTTCCTCCCCACCAACTTCTCGTCGTTCACCTAAAGGTATCTTTAACAAGGCACTGTTTCCCAAACGAGCAAGCAAGCTAAAACCTCCCCCAGCGAACGTTAGATGCCCTTCTCTGACTCCAATCAATGGTTCCTCTCAGTCTCACTTCACCTTCTGCTGCTTCCCTTTCATTAACGCACGCGCCCTCCTTTGTACCCACACTTAAACCCATATACACAAGGTATAACCAACTCAAAAAACTCAACAAGGTATGAACAAATGTATGTAAAGATTTACGTATGTTATATTGTATCATGTAGATCTTAGTTCATAAAGAATCAGAATCTAAATTTCTGGCTTTTTTTTTTGTTTGTTTTTGGTTTGATTAGAGGAGGAGGGCGAGGAATGGAAAGTGTAGGGCGGAGTTATCTGCTGATGCGCCGGTGGCTATTGCTATGGGCGCGTGTATTCTGAGCTCGCTGATTTTGCCAGCCACTCCTTTGCCGGAAGATAGTGAAGGTGACTCGCTGATTGACTCCGCCGACGCGAGGTTTGCTGTCATGGGAATCATCAGTCTTATACCTTATTTCAATTGGATGGTAACATTTTTTTTTGGGGGGCTTTGTTTTTCAGTTTTATTTGCTTATTTATATCCAAATTGCTAATCTCTACTTATTTTTATATAGAGTTGGGTGTTTGCGTGGATGGATACTGGAAAGCGGCGATATGCTGTTTATGCTATTGTATATTTGGCTCCTTACTTGAGGTTTCACCCATTCCATTTTTTCTTTCTTCTGAATAAGTATCCATTTTTTATTGTTCAAAATTTCTGGACCATTTGATTTCTCAAGTTGAAAGTATTGATATTTCAATCAGATGATTATAATCTTAATTTGATATTATATTAGTTTAATGAGTTATCAAAAATGAACCAAAAAAAATCTAATTGACTACTAGTGATTGGTCAACAAGTACCTCAAATGGTAGGCAATAGCAGGTTCTGTAGGCCTTGAAGAAACACCGAACAAGTTATTAATGTTTATCAGTGGTCCTTAATTATTTCAAGGGATTTAAGCTAACATAAATGCAATCATTGTCCAACTTTGATAGTTTGCTTTTCTTGATTTGGGGATGATTGGTTGAGTGTGTTCGTGCAATCATAATTGATTAACTCTCATCCTGATTCTTGATGTGGTTCAATTTCTGGTTTTGAGTTCTTTAATTGTAATGAAAAGTTTGGTTAGTACTTTCCTTTTCATATTGCTATCTTTGCGAATTGGTGGCAACAGTCGGACTTGTATTAAATCATGTTGCATTTTTTTATTGTTTTCATTTCGATGTGTCAATATGGCAAGGAGTTTGTGATGATATTCAGACAAGTTTCTCGTGGTCTAACGTATAAAGATTTTCGTTGTTCTTTTCTAATTAACTATCTTCTGAGGTGTAAAGTATAAATATTTTCGTTGTTCTTTTCTAATTAACTATCTTCTGAGGTGTAAAGTATAAATATTTTCGTTGTTCTTTTCTAATTAACTATCTTCTGAGGTGTAAAGTATAAATATTTTCGTTGTTCTTTTCTAATTAACTATCTTCTGACAAGCTGGCTGTCAGAGCAAAAGAATTCCCGCACAAACTAAGCTCAATCTTGGTATTTGATTTATTTAGTGAAAATACACATCCTAATTGGTTATAACACTTTTTTGCTAATGTTGATTAGAAGCCTTGGTAGAAGATTAAAGCTCTTAGCTGGCTGACATTCTGAATGACTTCCCACAAACTAAGCGCAATCTCAATATCTGATTTATTTACTATTAAGTAAAAGTACATTCTGACACTGTTATAAAGCTTACGAAATGTTTGCTAAATTTGGTTGCAAAAGGTTCGGAGATTTAAGCACATTTCCTGCTTAATAGTGCTTATCATCTAGGTGGTGGTTGAAAAAACACGGAATGAAAGTGGATAGGAAGTTGTGTCTTATATTTGTGAAGAAATGCTAGAAGGATTTATATACTTGTTTAATAGTATTAGATCTTTAGATCATATTGTGCTTATCACTTGGTATAATGAAAAGTTTATTAGTTCTGAGATACTCTTCATTCTCAAAGGTAAACATGAAAATATGAGAATTACTTGGACTATGTTTTAGGAAAATAATCTTTTGATGCATTGCATATATTCAGGCAGTACTTTCTGGTTGGTGAGATGGGCAATTTTACTGCGTTGATGACTAGAATTATTGTGCATGTATGCTGCATTTGGTTTGTAAATATGGTTATTTGAAAAATCTGAAGTGGAACTTTTTTCCCCCCTCTTTAAGGTCAAATTTGTCGCTGTCCCCTGAAGATAGCTGGTTGCCAATTGGTAGCATTCTCCTTTGCATCATTCATATCCAGGTGGAGAATTGTAAAATTCATATTTATGCATCTCATTGTGTAACCAGTAATCTTGAATTCTTCATCCTGAATTTATTTTGTTGGCAGCTAGAAGCTAGTATAAAAAATGGAGATATACAGGGGTTCCAAATATTTAATGAGGCTGTGAAGCATCTTTGGTCCATCAAAGAAAAGAAGAATCGAATAATCTATGAGGAGGTACTTACAATTGTAACCAATGTAACAGAAATATAATGTATCAGTCACTTTGTACTTCTGATATTGCAATTTGTAATATGAAGGGGAAAGCGAGGGACCACCAAAATTTGCCTTCTGCACAAGAACAATCTAGGAATGAGATACAGAACTGGGGATCACGTGCTCAAGATCCCGAACTGCTGAATCAAGATGGAGAAACAGATGGGGAAAGCAAGGAGTAGATTAGTCAATTTGCTGGTTCCAACTCAATGCTATGCAACAGATGAGTACGAATATATTCATTGGATTAGTCCTGGAGTTGCAAACGTAGCCTATGAAAGAGCAGTTCGTCTTGATCTTGATTTTGATGATTATGAGCTCAAAGATCTGTTATAACTGCCATTTATTTATTCAGAAAAGTTATAGACTAAGAACTTTATGATTGTGAAATGTGACACTCTTGTAAGTTGGCCTTTATTTTTATTCTGTTCTTGCTGAAAAACACTATAGGACTATCTATAAAGGTAAGAGGAGCCTTTTATAAGTTAATAAAATGCTATTTTATTGAGCAATTATGCACATGCCTGCAAAGTACAAACTTCTTGACTGTACCATTGAGAGTACGTTTAGTAGAGATTTCTTCAAGGGAAAAATGGTCTTTTATTTTTTTTTTTTTTTTAAAAGACACATGGTTAAACAGTGAGAATTTTATGAGTCTCGTAAAATTGAATAATGCTATTCATAAATGAGTAGTTACAATAATCATTCTACATGTCATCCTATGTGTCGTGATTTTAAAAATTATAAAACAATCAAATGGATTTCAATTATCTTTGCGAATTGGTGGCAACAGTCGGACTTGTATTAAATCATGTTGCATTTTTTTATTGTTTTCATTTCGATGTGTCAATATGGCAAGGAGTTTGTGATGATATTCAAACAAGTTTCTCGTGGTCTAAAGTATAAAGATTTTCGTTGTTCTTTTCTAATTAACTATCTTCTGAGGTGTAAAGTATAAATATTTTCGTTGTTCTTTTCTAATTAACTATCTTCTGACAAGCTGGCTGTCAGAGCAAAAGAATTCCCGCACAAACTAAGCTCAATCTTGGTATTTGATTTATTTAGTGAAAATACACATCCTAATTGGTTATAACACTTTTTTGCTAATGTTGATTAGAAGCCTTGGTAGAAGATTAAAGCTCTTAGCTGGCTGACATTCTGAATGACTTCCCACAAACTAAGCGCAATCTCAATATCTGATTTATTTACTATTAAGTAAAAGTACATTCCGACACTGTTATAAAGCTTACGAAATGTTTGCTAAATTTGGTTGCAAAAGGTTCGGAGATTTAAGCACATTTCCTGCTTGATAGTGCTTATCATCTAGGTGGTGGTTGAAAAAACACGGAATGAAAGTGGATAGGAAGTTGTGTCTTATATTTGTGAAGAAATGCTAGAAGGATTTATATACTTGTTTAATAGTATTAGATCTTTAGATCATATTGTGCTTATCACTTGGTATAATGAAAAGTTTATTAGTTCTGAGATACTCTTCATTCTCAAAGGTAAACATGAAAATATGAGAATTACTTGGACTATGTTTTAGGAAAATAATCTTTTGATGCATTGCATATATTCAGGCAGTACTTTCTGGTTGGTGAGATGGGCAATTTTACTGCGTTGATGACTAGAATTATTGTGCATGTATGCTGCATTTGGTTTGTAAATATTGTTATTTGAAAAATCTGAAGTGGAATTTTTTCCCCCCTCTTTAAGATCAAATTTGTCGCTGTCCCCTGAAGATAGCTGGTTGCCAATTGGTAGCATTCTCCTTTGCATCATTCATATCCAGGTGGAGAATTGTAAAATTCATATTTATGCATCTCATTGTGTAACCAGTAATCTTGAATTCTTCATCCTGAATTTATTTTGTTGGCAGCTAGAAGCTAGTATAAAAAATGGAGATATACAGGGGTTCCAAATATTTAATGAGGCTGTGAAGCATCTTTGGTCCATCAAAGAAAAGAAGAATCGAATAATCTATGAGGAGGTACTTACAATTGTAACCAATGTAACAGAAATATAATGTATCAGTCACTTTGTACTTCTGATATTGCAATTTGTAATATGAAGGGGAAAGCGAGGGACCACCAAAATTTGCCTTCTGCACAAGAACAATCTAGGAATGAGATACAGAACTGGGGATCACGTGCTCAAGATCCCGAACTGCTGAATCAAGATGGAGAAACAGATGGGGAAAGCAAGGAGTAGATTAGTCAATTTGCTGGTTCCAACTCAATGCTATGCAACAGATGAGTACGAATATATTCATTGGATTAGTCCTGGAGTTGCAAACGTTATTCAGGCAAAATGCGACTCTTCCCCCAAATAATTTCAAAATACTTTTAGGGATTTATATGAACTCAAAATGAAAATAGTATTCGATGGAGAATGAGGGTGGTGAAGCCGGTTGATCCGTGGCTGCTAAAGTCTGGGGAAGAAGAAATGCGCAAAATTTGGGAGGAATTATTTGGGGGAGGAGACGTTTTGTGCCTGAATATGGAAACTCATTTGATTGTTTTTTCTTATATTTTTTAATTATTGAAGTTATGCCAAGTAGGATGTTACGTATGACAATTAGTGTAGTTGCTGATTACGAATAGTATTATTCTTGGTAGAAAAAGAATATAATATTACTGATCTATTACAACAAACTCTATGGACAAAATTACAAATATGAGTATTACACTGATATATATCAAGGTTTTCAACTAGATGAGACTAGACTTTTGCACCCATTCGAATCATCACAGAGACTCCAAACCAAGACCCAACAACCCTTACAAATCCCCAACTTTAAAGTTGCTTCAATGGACCAAGAATTGACACAACAACAAACTAATGACTCAACTCACAAAGAGAAGACGCCATGATTTGATTCTCACATAGAGGATACCTATTGACTCACACAAAGAAGACGAAATGAAGAGGACAGAAAACCGTTGAAGATTCTAGACAGCTAGACATAAGAAGATGAAACATGGATAGACTTTTACAGTTAAAACACTCTATTTATACTAAAAAATCATCAACCGTTAATCTGAAGTTAATCCAACGGTCCAGAGCAACAAACATAGTGGGTTGAATATTGGGCTTGGGTAGTGGGCCGTCTCAATGATATTATTGGGCAAGATTTGTTTTCAATTGGGCCGAAGGCCATATTTCATCATTGCTTAAATATTTGGATTGCATCTGATATCACACCCCAACATTATCGATTAAAATTCAATTTAGTTGATAAGTAAAATGGGATAACCTTTATTTATTTATTTATTTATTTTTATTATTATTATTTTTTCCTTTGGTATTTCTCTGCAAAAACGAATAACAAATTAATATTTAAAACAGGGAGGGAGAGGAAAAAATAGTATAAAATCGGGTATAGCGTGAAATAGCCCAAAGGCATGTTGACAATATTTTCAAGAACTTTACTTGGCAACCAGCGGCTCTTCAACTTTAACTTCAAACCCCAGAGGCCGGTCTACCTCACTTTATCAATCATGGCCGCCACCTCAACCGCCGCCGCCTCTTCGCCTACCAATGTCGCCGTTAAGCGAGTGGGAACTCATAATGGCAGCTTCCACTGCGACGAAGCCCTTGGGTGCTTCATGATTCGCCTTACTAATAAATTCTCTAATGCCCAGATCGTCCGTAGCCGTGACCCACAGGTTACTTCATGTTTCCTTTTCATATTCTTTATGCAATTTAATTGTCATACGGATTTGTGTTTTGTGGTTGGAGATATTTATATATGTAGGTGATATGTTTGATGAAATGATTGAGTGAAGGTGTTGGAAGAGCTTGATGCAGTACTTGATGTAGGAGGGGTTTATGATCCGACGCAAGACCGTTACGATCATCACCAAAAGGGTTTTGAGGAAGTTTTTGGACATGGTTTCAATACTAAGCTCAGCAGTGCTGGTCTTGTTTACAAGGTGATTTGTAGTGTGAAGTATTGACCAAAACATGGTTACTTTTGTAACAATTTTTTTCATATTGAATTGTGGCATTATTTTTTTCTTTTCTCATTTATTTTTGTTTCAGTTATGACCGTGTAGTGAGTTAGGCTTGGTTTAGTCTAAATTTGATAGAGGAGTTAGCTTCTCTGACTCTCTGATTTGTTTTCTCTGGTTATGTTTCCTACGTTTTTGTTATGTTAGCATTTTGGAAAGGAGATAATTGCCAAAGAACTTCAAGTTGACCAAGAACACCCAGATGTGCATCGACTGTTTCTATCAGTTTACAAGAGCTTCATGGAGGTAATTTTTGATTTATATTTTTTGAGTTCGTTTGAAAATTGGGTACCTGAACCAAACAAATCTTCATGTTACACTTCCTACTTGCCACATGTACACTCGTTATTGATAAAAATACTCCTTTTTATTGAGCAACAACTGTATATTCTCCTGCTGCAGGAATTCTGAACATAAGACATGGGCTTTATGCAACCTTAAGGGTCTTCCTACTTTATTCTTCATTGCTAGTAATCCTTAGTAAATGATAGACAATTGTAGTTTGCAATACAGGGCCTTTTCTTTCAAGGATAATCCTATGATAAAATATATGTTGCACCAGGGGCGGATCCAGCACCTGGCGAGCCCCAGCGGCCGCCCATGCTGGATCCGCAGGAAGCTCTTTTTTTTTTTTTTGATGATAGGTGAAAGATTTATATTATATATCTAATAATTCACCTTCTTCCCAAAATCTCTTATAGTGTTGCTGGTTGAGGCTTTCACTATCAAATATGAGGTCCTGAGTTCGATTTTTCTTCAAAGCATTTTATAGTGCTATTTTTTTGATTCAACAATTTTTTCCTAAAACTAATGCAAGAGAAGGGATTCGAACCCTTAACCCCACTTTAAGATGGTTGAGGCCTTGACCATCATTGCACTCATTGACACAAAATGTAACAAAATTATATATGTTCAAGTTTAGACTTTAGAGGTTTAGATGCAATTAAAAGGATTCGAACCTTAGACCCTCATTTGAATTATACAACTCTTGGCCAATATGTCACTTATTGGGTTGAAACCATAATTGTCACAGAAATAATATATAGTCATTTTTAGCACAAATAATTGTTATATTAAATTTGAAATATTTTATTGTGAACAACGATAACCGGCTGCCCGCCCGTGCTCACTCCAAGTCTTAGATTACCCTGTGCTGCACAGATTATACTTCCTTTTGATTTTTTTCTTTTATATTTTTTTTTTGTGAATTTTTTTTTTTAACTATAATTTATTACTTACAGAAGATGTATATTTTTTGTGAGGTTTGCTCATGTCTATGGTGTCTAACTGTCAATGACTACATGCTGCTTCAAATCATGCTTAGTTAGATCATTACTCTTAACATTTTTCTTCATCTATGCCAGGCAATTGATGCAATTGACAATGGAATCAATCAGTATGACACAGACCAGCCACCAAGATATGTAAATAATACACACCTGTCGTCAAGAGTTGGGAAATTTAACTTGGATTGGGTAGATCCTGATCAGTCAGCTGAGAAGGAGAATGCAGCATTTGAACGTGCAATGGCTCTAGCTGGCAGTGAGTTTTTAGATGTAAGTTTCCTCGAGTAGATGGCAATAAATCTTCTCATTCTGTATATGCATAACTGCAAAAACATATCATTTTTCTCCTCAAAAAAATAAAAATAAAATAGGCAAATAGTGTGGTTTGGGGGTCTTTCATCTTACAGACTTGATATTGGAAAAGGTATTTGAAGCTTGAGCTTTATATTCTGTTGAAAATGTTAAATGATCTAAACAGTTGAAAAATCTTTCTATCTCAGAATGTACGGTTTCATGCACGGTCATGGTTACCAGCAAGGTCGATTGTCATGGATTGTCTTGCTGCAAGGGGTGATGTTGATCCTAGTGGAGAAATAATGGTTTTGGATAGATTTTGCCCTGTAAGTGTTTTCTCATCATTCTGCTATATAAATTTTTCTTCTATTTTCCTATAAATATCAAATGATGTTGCCATATCACAATCTAAATTGGATGTTGGGCTTGAGAAAGTACTTTTTGTTGTTTGTGTATCAAGAGATATATCCTGTTGGAGTTTATTACATGCTGCAACATTTCCAAATTTTTCTTACATAATCCATTTGTTCTTTGGGAAAGTTCTCCAAACTTCATTGAATCTATCATCAGAAATCTATGTACAATTTTTAGTTTGTAAATAAATCCTTATGTGCCAATGAGTTGACAATTAACAGTTAAATCAATGTACGTATAGTTATCTTCGGTCACGACTTTTGAGAGCGAGGGAAGCTCTTAAAATTTTTTGCAGTTTTTTATAGCCTGAGAAACTTTAGTATTCTAAAAGTTCTACATTCTTCCACAAATATTACTCTCAAGTTATTTTGAAGAAAGTTGAACAAGTGTTTCATTTTAGTGTAACTATCTCCTCATTTATTATTATTATTATTATTTTTTAATTTAATAAATGAACCTTTATTGAAATCATTAGAATGTTATCTTAGAAAACAACTTGTTATGGTAATTAATGTTGTACGGATTTCACACTCAGATATTTTCATTCGGTTTTATGTTGACAGTGGAAACTTCACTTGTTTGAGCTTGAGGAGGAAAATAAGATTGATCCATCCATCAAATATGTACTTTATGAGGTAGGCAGTTATGCGTATCCTTTTTTTCGTCTTGGTGTTACATTTATCTGCGTGCCTGCATATCCCCATGTGAATGAAATATGTACCAGAATGATATAATTCCCCTCCTCGTTTAGGATTATCATAATATGAGCATAGAGGAAGATTAGATTTTCAACTTGTAATTTGTGCTTTAAGTTAGATTGTTCTTTATAGTTTACGTGATTATATAATGTTTTAGGACGGCCGAAACAAAACTTGGCGAGTCCAAGCAGTGGCAACAGTGCCCGATGGATTTGAGAGCCGGAGGCCACTACCTGCTCAGTGGCGAGGTTTGAGAGATGATGAACTATCGCAGGCATCCGGTATTCCTGGTGGCATTTTTGTCCATATGAGTGGGTTTATTGGTGGAAATAAAACCTTTGAGGGAGCATTGGCAATGGCAAAAGCAGCATTGAAGCTATGATTCAGATTATAGGAAGTAGACACTTATTTGAGATAATTATCATCCCTATTTTGCACTGATTTATACTCTTTCTCCCAAGATTTAAAGTTAATTGAATTAATTGTCTGAAATTTATTTGCATGGAAATTATTAATTAAATATGTTTGATTGATTTAATTTTTAAAATAAAAAATGTTATACTTGTTCATCTTTTATTAGTTGATAGATGAGAGAGAGTGAAACCAATTTTTGAAAAATATTTTTCATGGAAAAAATGTCGGTCAAACATTCTAAAAGTAGAAACTTGAATGAAAAAATGATAGTTTTCATGAAAAATAAAGTCAATTGCACACTCATATCAGTGTCTTTGGGCTTAAGGCATGTTTGGCTAAGCTTAGAAAAGTTAATTAAGTACTATTTTTTTTTTCCTCAAAAAAGAAAGTAAATTTGCTTTTGTTTTTACTTTCGCTTTCATTGTCATCGTAGAAACAAGGGAAAGTACTCACGTGCCTTAAATCACGATTCCATCCCCCAAATACACACTCCTTCTCCATTGCATTTTGCAGTCTCACTGTCTCAGTAATGGCCTCTATATCATTCGCCTTGTCTCCTTCTTCATTGTCCCCTTTCAGAAAATTCATTTATGTCAATAATCTTCCAAAAACCCCATCATCGCATAACGTTTCCATTCCTCTTTCTAAATCTAAAACCCTAATCAAGGCTGTAGACCCATTTGATAAGTCCCTAAATCACAGACCTCCCCGTTCCGCCACCAGCGCCGCAGCCTTCGTTGTTTCCTCCGACCAACCGCAAACACTGAAAGCCCGCCTCAAGAATGGGGAGACCCTATACGGGATCTTCCTCCTCAGCTTCTCCCCGACTCTAGCCGAGATTGCTGGCCTTGCAGGCTATGATTTTGCTGTGGTTGATATGGAACATGGCCACGGAGGGATCTCTGATGCCCTTCCTTGCCTCCATGCCCTCGCCGCTACCAATACAGCTGCCATTCTCCGCCTGCCTGAGTCCTCCGCCACCTGGGCGAAGAAAGCCCTGGATCTGGGCCCGCAAGGAATTATGTTCCCCATGATTGACAGCCCGAAATCAGCCCGAAAGGCTGTTTCCTACTGCCGCTTCCCGCCCAGTGGCGTTCGAGGCTCAGCCCACACCGTAGTTCGAGCGTCAGATTACGGCATCAACGAAGGATATCTAAGCAATTACGAAGAAGCCCTGCTAATCATGTGCCAGGTAGAATCCGAAGAGGGCGTGAAGAAAATCGAAGAAATCTCAGCCATCGATGGAGTTGACTGCATTCAGATGGGCCCATTAGATTTGAGCGCGAGCATGGGATACTTGTGGGATCCAGGGAACAAGAAGGTAAAGGAAGTGATGCGATCAGCTGAGAGAGCAGTGCTGGGATCCAAAGGTGGAGCCTATTTGGCTGGTTTCGCAATGCCGCACGATAGCCCGGAGGACATGAGGCTGAGAGGATATCACATGGTGTCGGGCACCGTGGATGTAGGATTGTTTAGGAATGCTGCGGTCGAGAATGTGAACAAGTTTAAAATGAGTTTGGTTGAAGGGTCTAGTGAGGAGAGGGAAGAGAGTAAAGATGCTGAGGAGGAGAAATACTGGAGTGAATGATCAATTCGCAGGTTTAGTTTTCGGGGAATGAGTTTTTTCCTTTGATTTGGACAAGTTTGTGCATCGAGTTCTTGATGAAAAGTACTTCTCAAGTGAATTGAAAATTTCGAACGTTTTAGTAGTATGCGTTTTACTAATGGAGAATGCCCTGATACACGACGTCATTCTTACCTGTCTTCGACTTATCACTTTAGTTTGTTCAAAATTTCAAACTCAACGATGACAAAATACAAGGAGTGTCGTTGCGGGACTAACTCAATACCTTGTAACACAATTTGTGTCTGCTATACCCCTTTACAAAACTTGAAAATTTGGTGTGGAAGTGGAAATGCACTTCAATCTTGTGAAATCGGCCTCAATTTAAACCAACAATAATCACCAATCATATGGGGCTCGAAAACCCGAAACACAACTTCCACTTTGGTTGCCTCTGTCTAACCCACTCAGGATCCAATAATGGCGATTGATTTGTACCCACAAAAGAGGAGGAGGAGGAGGAGGAGGAGGAAGTAATCCGAGACTCGAGAACCAAAGACGGCTTTATCTCACGTTCTCTCTAGGCAAAACCAACACACTTACTCATGGTTTCCGATTAGGATGGAGTAGCAATATCAGAAGGTAAAGAGGACTAAACCCACAAAGGATTAGGATGGATGGTTGTAACGACATCAAAAAGTAAAGAGGAAGAAGCAGCAAGCAATGGTTGAACTCCAAAATCCCCCCAAGAACGGCTGCCTTTCTTCACTCTATTGCTCACTCATTCACGCGAAACGGCTACAGTCAATGGCAATGGATATATAGTGAAGAAAGGTAAGAATGATGTCGTGTATCATGCCAAATGGGTCATCCTCAAATGAATTGGGTCATGAGCAACATTACTTAAGGGAAAATTTTATAAGTAAGAGATTAATTATGGCATATTTCAAAAACAAGAAAATAAGTTTCAAATTTCAAAAATCAGATTTTATTATAAATTATTTATAATTTAATTAATTAATTTAGTAATTAAATATATTTAAGAGAAGAAGAAGCAAGCAATGGTTGAACTCCAAAATTAACGGCTGCCCTTCTTCACTCTATTGCTCACTCATTCATGCGCAACGGCTACAGGCAATGGCAATAGATAAGATAGTGCGTTGAAATTAACTGGGGCCAACAGTTAAAACCAAGTCAACAAACCAAATGGGTCATCGAATTGGGCCATGAGCAACATTACTTAATTAAATTGCTTCCAATAGTTCAAGTTGTTTTCGTGTTGAGCCAATCGTCAATATAATTATTCCAACAACGTTTTAACATCATTATCCAAATTTATTTGATATTAAAATCCAACATGGTAAATAATTCAGTTTTAATTAAAGCATTTTTGGAAATAAATGAATAGTATATGTAGGTTTCTATGATTGATTGAATAAAAAGTATTCCTTGCATCCCATTTATATATACTTACTTTCCTTATTTTCTTGTCTCAATGATATAGTAAATTTTTTTTATTGAGCTTGTTTTGTTTTGTTTGCTTACTAATACACCCTTATTTAATTTGTATAGTTATAACAAATATTTTTAATTAATCTTGAAATTTTACAAATATAACTCGCGATTAATCCCCCACATGGGGGATCTGTCCAACTTGAGTGAGCCTTTCAAGTTCCACAACTGAAGGGACAGACCTTCCTTTGAAGTCCATTAAACTCTCTGCTACTGTGATAGTTGAAGCGAGGTTTCCCACTTTCAAAATATGCGCTTTGCCTTGAGGCACTAGAGGTAAACTAAAAAAGTTAATGACAAAAATTGTTTTTTCAATAACATTAAATATGATTTCTTAATTCATATGAATAACAAAACAAGCATATATAAATGGGACGGAGGGAATATGAATATTTAGAAGCATGAACCAAATATAGGTTAAGTTTGGATCCCACAAATTGGGTGTGGATTAAAATGCACAAAATTATGAAGCTCACCTACAAGAACTAAAGACAGTGCTCTTTATTTTAAGGAGTGTGTTTGATGTACAGCAGGTTTCTGTGTGCTTCTTCACAAAAGATTGCCAGAACACACACATGGGGGCAGGTGGGGTATTCTTTGGCATTTTTTTTCACGGTGGGCTTCATATTGTGTGAGTATTCTGACAATCTTCTGTGAAACCTTTTTTTTTTTTTTTTTGTATAAATGGATTAATCCTTATTTTGAAGAGTTAACCCCTAAAATTATGCTCCAGTATGCTCTTGAAATTAACATGCTTCACTCTCTATAATTAAATGATTCAAAGTGTTTCAATTTTCAATCTAAAAAATTAATAAAATAAATCTATAGAAAAGTTATTTAAAATGAATGATAGAGAAAAAAAGTGTGAAATATAAAGAGTTTATTACATTATTTCAAATGATAGAATATACTAGAGAGTCTCCAAGTCAAATACAAATTTCTCTATCATGAATATAAATGCATGATGTATGAGGTTTCGGCAAGAATTGACATCTGGAAGGAGTTGCCACCAGCCACATGTTATCCATCCAACGTCGCATGCCCAAGCAGAATAGACAACAACCCACACAATCTGCAAATAAAACTTCAAAATACAGTGCACAAATTTCACGCTACAATTCATCTCCAAAAACCCCAGCAACTTCATAATCTTTCCAAATCATGGCATCTGTGTCCGCAATGAAATCCCGCCTACACAAAGGTGACACTCTGTATGGCCTCTTCCTCTGCAGCTTCTCTCCAGTCCTCGCCGAAATCACTGGCTATGCCGGCTACGATTTCGTAGTTGTAGACATGGAACACGGCCACGGCGGCATCTCCGACGCCCTCCCTTGCCTGCACGCCCTCTCTGCCACCGCCACACCCGCCATACTCCGGCTACCTGAGTGTTCATCTACATGGGCCAAAAAGGCCCTTGATTTGGGCCCACAAGGCCTCATGTTTCCAATGATAGACAATCCCTACTTGGCCCAACAGGCCGTGTCTTACTGCCGCTACCCGCCCAATGGGATTCGTGGGGCGGCCCATCCAATTATCCGGGCCTCCAAGTACGGCATTGACGAGGAATACTTGACAAAATGTGAGAATGATTTGTTTATCATGTGTCAAGTTGAGTCCATGGAAGGTTTAAGGAATGTAAAAGAAATAGCTTCAGTTGATGGGGTGGACTGTATTCAAATTGGGCCATTGGATCTAAGTGCTAGTATGGGCCAACTATTGGATCCACTAAATGAGAAGGTAAAGTCCATGATGAGTGGAGCAGAAGAAGCAGTTATTGGGCTAAAGTCTAAGAAAGGAAATGGTTCAAATGGGCCTTACTTGGCTGGGTTTGCAATGCCAAATGATGGGCCTAATGAGTTGAGGGCTCGTGGATATGACATGGTGTCTGGTGGAGTTGATATTGGGCTTTACAGGAATGCTGCACTGGATGATGTAAAGAAGTTTAAAATGGGTCTTAATCTGACAAAGTGAAATAGATGCAACTGCTGATGTCTCTAGTTTTGTAAATATTGAGAGTAAATAATCCTTCTATTTCATCCATGTAGCTGCTTAGATTAGATTTTCCGAACTCCTAATAGATCTTTAATTGTGTCTTATTCTTTTCTCTCTTTTAATTGCAATTTAATTTGTTTTTTGAGATTTTGTTTAATAAGTGTCGCAGAAGATTGTTCCAAGGATTGTTAACGTGATATTGTTTCTCAATATCACTCAAAAAGAACAAGATACCGGTGATAATTTGAAATCACAAAGGCAAGAAGTAAACACCACAAAAGGAGGCAAGAAAGAAACCAAAAACACAAAATTAATCACCGGTTTTGGTACACAAAGTCAGCTGAATGGTAACCATTTTTCTCTTCTTCACACAAAAAATAGCTAGGTTTGTAACCATATAAGTAGGGTTAGATTGTGGTTTTAATTGGACCAATAACAAAGCTAAATGGGCCAAGATTTAAAGGCATCCAAGAGATAATATAAATGAGTTGGGTAGAGCTTTTTGACTTTGTTGTTGATACTTATTTCACTTATCGGCCGAAACCTACGAAATATATATTCACACATTAACATTATGGCCAGAAATTTATTGGATATCAAAACCCAACAAATCTCTCCCTTGATGTCCAATAAACTTACAAGCAATTAAAACAAACAATTTGTACTTGCATAATCAAGATAACTAATAAAATTGGGATCACAGACCTTATCTCGTGTTTCCAACCTCCACACATATCATACTTGCTCCATGTATTCACCAGAGTTAAGGTCAAGAACATATAAGTAGAAGCAAATATTCACAGTAATCAATCAAGAATAAATAATCATGCAATGAAGATTAATATAGGATAACACAAACAGATCTTTTCAAAAATCACGTCACATAGAACAACAGATTAACACCAAGTTAATCAAATACACGGACAAACACATGCAACAAATGGATAAATGACCATGTGAAAAGATCTCACAACACTTATCCTATCCCATTTTGTGTTGCTCACACTTCGAGAACACATATATCCTCTCATCGCTTAATATGCTTACTAGACTGATCACTCAACTCATGCCTAATTGGTAAACTACTACAGATCCTAAGTCCATGGATATTTCTCTGTTACCACGTTACTTCTCCCAACCTACATGGATAATAGGTCTCCATCTAATAGAAGTAATAGAAGTGCATCTCTCATACTCTACCTGATCAGGGTCTTTTCACAGATAAATGATTCTAAACATTTAATCACCTCACCACTCTGGATCCAAATGTCACACTCCACATTCTAGATACAAACCACAATGTAATCTATACTTCACCTTACCAAAAGACATACAACACACTGCTAATGCATCCCAAATCATTATGCATAAATACAATTACACCAAGTAATAAATTCACTTTAATTTATGCAGTTACACACACAAACAAATTGAAAGCGTAACATTTCAACCACACCAGAATTAAGCAATCGCATACATAAAAAAATGATTACACATAGATGTACATGCAGTAACTAGGTTCACTCTCAATAAAGCTCATTAGGGTCATCACTCGACCTTATAGCCAAATTCATCCCACTCCTCATTTTACCCTTCTGCTTTTCTTTTTTCTAAGGACAGTCCCTAATAAAGTGTCCAAACTTATCACAACTGTAACATTGTCTACCACTAGACTTATCCTCTTCCTTGCCCTCATTTTTACCACCCTCATCACTTGAGTCACTGTTCGAATCACTACTATCTTGAGTTCTACTCAAATTCATTTGCTTAAATTTCTTTCTACTCCTCACCATATGTAACTCACCACTCCTCTATTTTTTTTTCAGCCTTAATTTTCATCTCCTTACTCTTAAGAAAGTCTATGATAATCTCGGGTGTTAAGGTATCCTTGTCATACTTAATTGTGTTCTTAACCCCCATATATGAATCATGCATTGAATTAAGCAAAATAATGACCTTATACATTTCAAACACCTTTGCATCACAATTAATAATCTTTTGAACAAGTTTGTTAAAAACATCCAAATTGTTTTTAAGATTCTTTGAAGGATTCATTTTAAAACTAAAAAATCGTTTAAACTAGTACAATTTATTAGGAGTAGACTTAAGCAAATATAAGTTCTCCAACTTTTGTTAAAGTTCTTTTGTAGAATCAATTTTTCCAACCTTTCTTAAAACAGTGTTAGATAGGTGTAAAATAATTGAAGTGTAAGCAAATTCATCATATTTCTCTTTTTGTATTTTCGTCAATTTTGTAGGAAATTTGTCATCTATGATTTTAGAAATTTTTTGTTGAACTAAAATTTCCTTCATCCTTTTGTTACCAAATTGAAAAATCTCATTTCCCATTGAAAATTCTAACTTCGAAATGTGAAGATATTTTGAGAAAACTGAACAACCAAATGCATAGATAAGTCACACAAAATAATCTTAAGGCTGCAATATACACCGTTTTAGATCCTAATGTTTCTTAAAATTTGCGATCTTAGATCAAGGGAATGTTCAGACGGGTCAAGTTCAGGTGTTCAAATAGGATAATCAATGCAACACGAATATATGTTAACAAAAATTCAAATTCTCATTCAATGTAATCTCACACAGTAACTATATGACAGTTAGAACACAAAATCGGTTACCCACTTGCGATCAAATTTTATACTTTAAATATGACAAATAACTCCTAAATATCTAGCACAAGCAATGTTACTCCCACACAGTAATCACTAATCACAGTCCAAATGTCAACCCATATGATGACGAGCTAATGCTGAAATTTAAACTAGGATAAGCCAATATACCAGAGTTGACCAATTCGAGTTCATAAATTACGAGAGATGGGAATTTATCACTTTAGGAATACCACTATTTGTCAAAGTCTCTAAAAATTATACTTTAAATATGACAAATAACTCCTAAATATCTAGCACAAGCAATGTTACTCCCACACAGTAATCACTAATCACAGTCCAAATGTCAACCCATATGATGACGGGCTAATGCTAAAATTTAAACTAGGATAAGCCAATATACCAGAGTTGACCAATTCGAGTTCATAAATTACGAGAGATGGGAATTTATCACTTTAGGAATACCACTATTTGTCAAAGTCTCTAAAAACTACAGTAACCAATTAAGCAAAAAGAAACCAAACGCGAACGTGCAAAGGTATAATTTTTGGGCAGTTTCTGGACAGCTTTTTTGATCTGATATTTTCTTCGTTTCTACCAATTTTTTGGACATTTTTCAATAAGTTTCACAAGCTAAATCCACCATCTTAAAGCTCTGACACCAAGTGTTCGTCAAAATGGTGTTTTTGGGACTCAGTTCAATGTTATATTTCTCTACCAAACAACCAATCCAACCGGCTCCAATCCACAACCAATATATTCATCTCGATTGCTTTTCAATATCTCCCATAAATGATAAGATAACGGTGATGATTTGTAATCATAAAGATAAGAAGAAAACACCACAAAAGGAGGCAAGAAAGAAATTAAAAAAACAAAGTTAATCATTGGTTTGGTACACAAAGTTAGCCAGATTTTTCCTCTCTATGGCAACTGTTTTTCTCCTCTTCACACACAAATCACACATACAAACGGCTAGGGTTGTAACCATGTAAGTAGGATTAGTTTAAGCTTTTAATTGGACCAATAACAAAGCTAAGTGGGCCAAGATTTAAAGCTATCCAAGAGGTAATATAAATGGGAAGGATAGAGCCTTAGGACTTGGTTGTTGAAACTTATTTTCCTCATCGACTGAGATCTATGAAATTTATATTCCCATGTTAATATCATAGCACGAGATTTACTGGATGTCAAAACCCAACAACAAGAATACTTTGTATGGAACCATCAAACATATAGTTCGCTGTACTGGAAGGTGCTGCTGGATCACCTACTATTGTTGTTGGTATCGGCTTCTGGATATGCTTATGCTTTTACTGATGCTTATGGATCACTTGCAGAATCAAACCCCAAAACAGATAGGTTTGATTGGCCTGGCCTTGGGTGCTGGATCGAATGATGGTCAGGGTCGAATTGAAAGCTAAGCAGTGCCAATATCTGCGGGTTCCATAATTCTCTTTCTTCCACATAGAGGAAATAGGGTAATTCGTTGGTATACTATATATATATGTATTTTAAAACTTCTTATAACGACTTATGCATTCTGTTATCATTTCCAATCGGGCGATCCATTAATCCAACTAGTGGAGGATTATAAATGGATCGATTTTTCGGGTATAGATTGTTAGAAGAACCTGTACTTGTTCGTCGGACCGTTGCTTCTCAATTTGTAAAGCCCGCTGATACGCTCATAGAATCAAACATGTTTCTGAATTTGGAGCCTTAGTCCATCCACATAACGAGACTCCAATTGCTCTTTTCCAGTTTTGCTTGCTGGGCCCTTTTTCCTTAAAATAGACACAAATATTTTCGAAAATGGAAACTTGGAATTTTTTTTTTACCCGATCCCACTTTTTCATAAACTCTTCTTTTTGTATTGCATCAGAACTGGTCAAGAATGGATTCTTCTACATGCTTTTCATCATCACTTCTAAGGTCACATTTAAAGCTCTCTGTAAGCATACTGATGTAACTAGTTTGGAAGAGGAAGATCTAAGGTTTTAGTTGGGAGTACCTCAAGATCCACGTAAGCTTAAAAATACATAAGTGTAAATACTTTATGGCTTAGCAACAACAATAACTATCATGAACATTACTCATCTCCACTGAGGATACAAAGGGAAATAATAAAAGCTAATAAGAGAAACAAACAGTTTTCACCATTCTGTACGCTAATGAAAGGAATTCTAAATTAAAACATTAATTATTCTTGGCATATATAACCCCTTACATAAGGGCGTCCAAAATGGATTGGACACCCTTATATGCACCCCTATTTACCCCAAGAATATTCCTTAAAACATATCCAATAGTTAGCCTATATTTACAATGCTAAGAGTAGACTTTTCCAAATTTTTTAAAAATGGAGGGAGTGTCTCTATAATTGTCGGAAACTTCAGGAGAGGTCTATGAAATTTGGTCCAACTTTTTCCTATTTGAAATTCTGACCCTTTTATTATTGGCTCTTTTGAATCAAC